CTAGCATGAGTTAGGGAGTCATTCCTCCTCAATTTTTTTTGATATACTTTCAGTAGGAATGGTACCAGCTCTTCTTTATACACCTGGTAGAATTTGCATATTAATTGTCTGTTCCTAAGCTTTTTCTGGTGGTAGGCTTTTTATTAGTGATTCAGTTTCAGAGCTTGTTATTGGTCTGTTCAGTGATTCAGTTTCTTCCTAATTCAATCTTGACAGGGTGTATGTTTCCAGAAATTTATTCATTCATGTCTTCTAGGTTTTCTAGCCACAGTTTTTTTAATTCTTTTACATATTGATGGACATTTGGTTTGTTTCCAGGTTTTAGCTAACAGATTAAAAATACTATGGACTTTCATTTACAAGTCTTTGTATGAATATATATTTTCATTTCTCTTATGAACGACCTACAAATTTAAAATGGCTGGGCCATATGCTAAGTGTTTAACTTTAGAAAAAACTATTTTCCAAAGTGATTATGCCATTTAGCATATCAGCAATTTATGAGAACTCTAGTTGCTACATGTTCTCACTTTGAAATTTATGGTCATGTTAATTTTAGCCATTCTAGTGAGTGTGTTGTAGCGTTAATTTGTATTTCCTGGGTGACTGTTGGAATTGAGCATCTTTTCATGTGCTTATTTATTGTAAATCTTGTCTGATGAAGTATGTCTTCAAATATTTTGCCCAAATGTAATTGGATTTTTTGTTTACTTGAGTTGTAAGAGGGTTTTTATATGTATTTTCTGAATACAAGGCTTTTGTAAGATACTTGTATTGTGAATATTTTTTTTTAGCCTGGAGTTTACCTTTTCATTTTCTTACCATTGTGTATAAAGTAGCAGAAATTTTTATTTTTAATGAAATTCAGTTTATAATGTTCTTTGTTTTATGGCTTTATCTTCTCCTGTCCTAAGAAAGCTGTTTAACTCAGGGTCGCAAAGATTTCCTCCTGGAAGTTTTGTGGGTGTAGCTCTTAACATTTAGGTTTATGGTCTATTTCATGTTATTTTTTTGCATATGGTATGAAGGATGGGTTGAGATTAATTTTTAATACGATATTTATTATTCCAGCACCAATTGTCAGAAAGAGTATTCTTTCTTCCATTGAGTTACTTTGACCTATCAATAACTGTGATGTCTTTTAGTAAATTAAATGTCAATACTTAGGTAAGTACTATTCTGACTTAATGCTGTGGCTTTACAGTAAGTAGTGAAATCAGGTACTGTTAGTCCTCCAACTTTATTCTCCATTTTCCTGTTATTTTGACTATTGGAGACCCTTTCCATTTTTATGTAAGTTTTGAAACTGGCTTGTCAGTTTCTACAAAAACGCCTGATGGGATTTTGACTGAGATCGTGTTGGATCTGTAGATCATTTTGCGGAGGAATAATTCTTAATATTGAATCTCCTAACCATAAAAGTAGTACCTCTCTCCAATTATTTAGGTATTTTTTTAGTTTCTCTCTGCATAGTTTTATAATTTTAAGTGTAAAAATCTTGTACATGCTTTGTTATATTTATCCCTAAGCATTGTTTTTGGATTATATTTTAAATATTTTTCATTACAATTTTATTGTTCATTGGTATTATGTAGAAATAAATTTTAAAAATATTGACCATACATCCTGCAACCCTGTTAAACTCATCTTAGCTGAAGTAACTTGGAATCCTTAGGATTTTCTACATAGATGATCATGACAACTGGATTTAGAAGTTTTACATCCTCTTATCTAAACTGTATGCCTTTTATTTTATTTTCTTCACTTCTTACAGCTAGGACATCTGGTACAATATTAAATAGAAATGGTGAGAGAGGATGTCTTTGCTTTGTTTCCAATCTTAGGTGGAAAACATTCAATCTTTCACTATAAGTGTGATGGTATTACATTGAAGAAGTCCTTTTCCTTTCCTAGTCTGCTGGGATATATTATCTTGAGTGGATGTTGAATTTTTTTCAAGTGCTTTTTCTGCAGCAGTTGAAATGATTTTAGGTTTTTTCCTCTTTATTTTTCTCATCATAAGGTAAATTATATTGATTGGCTTTCAGATGTTTAAGCGACCTAGCATTTGTGGGAGAAATCTTGCTTGTTCGTGAAATATTATCTTTTTAATATATTGCTGAAGTTGCTAATATTATGTTAAGGGCTTTTGTATTTGTTTATGGGAAATATTGTTCTGTAGTTTTCTTTTTCTTTTCTTGTAATATCTTCATTTTTGGTGTCAATGTAATTCTATCCCATAAAGTGAGTTAGGAAATATTCTCTCTTATAATCTGAGTTGTATTGGATTTATATTATTTATTCTTTCGTTAATTTTTTTTAAACATATTACTTTTATTTTTTTTTTTTAAAGAGACACAGTCTTGCTATGTTGCCCAGGTTGGACTCAAAACTCTTGGGCTCAAGCAATATTCCCACCTTAGCCTCCTGTGTAGTTGGGACTATAGATGTGCACCCCTATTCCTGGCTTTATTATTTCTTCTCTTAGTGTTTGAGAGAATTCACCAGTGAAGACATCTTAACATGCATGTCATGTATATGTATGTGTGTGCCTTGGTACACGTGTGTGTGTGTGTGTGTGTGTGTGTGTGTGTGTGTAAAGGTTTTTGAACAATGACTTCAAATTTAAATAATATAGAGCCATTCAAGTTTACTCCTTCTTGAGTGAGCTTTGAGACTTTGGGTCTTTCAAGGAATCCATTTCATTTAGTATTTATTCATATGAAAGTGAATTATTCACTGATTTTAAATGTTAGTAGTTCTGTAGTGATCATTCTTATATTGGTAATTGTATCGTCTCTCTTTTTATCTCAGCTGAGATAGAAGTTTGTCAGTTTTACTGATCTTTTCAAAGAACTAACTACTGAATTCATTGATTTTTCTGTATTCTGTATCTCCTATTGTCTTTATTATTTCCTTCTATTTGCTTTGGGTCTAATTTTCTCTTACTTTAATTCAATTAAAAATAGTTTCTAATATACATTGTGACATTTTTTTTCTTTGACCCATGGGTTATTTAGAAGAGTGTTGCTTAACTTCTAAATATTTGGAGATTTTCCAGATAATTTTTCTGTTACTGCTATTTAATTCTGTTTTTGTCAGAGAAAATGCTCTTATGATTTTAAAACTTTTAAACGTATTTAGCTTTATTATATTACCCCAGAATATGCCCTATCTTGGTTAAAGTTTTGTGTGCATTTAAAAAGAATGTGTGTTTTACTGTGGTTGGGTGCAGTGTTTTATAAATGTCACTTAGGTCACATTCATTGATAGTGTTTTTCAAGTATTTCCTTTACTTAATGATTTTTTTTTTTGCTTACATATTCTCTTTATTATTAAAAGTGATGAAATCTGCAATTATCATTTTATTGATTGATTGATTGATTGATAGAAACAGAGTCTTACTCTGTCAGCCAGGCTGTAGTGCAGTGGTGCAATCTCGGCTTACTGCAGACTCCACCTCCCAGATGCAAGTGATTCTCCTGCTGTAGCCCCCTGAGTAGCTGCGATTACGGTCACCTGCCACCATGCTTGGCTAATTTGTGTACGATGTTACGCCATGTTTGCCAGGCCTGTCTCGAACACCTGCTTGCAAGTGATCTGTCCACCTTGGCCTCCCAAAGTGCTGGGATTACTGGCATGAGCCACCACCCCTGGCCACCAATTATAATTTTAGATTTAGCTTTTTTCCTTTTTAGTTCTGTCAGTTTTTGCTTTATTATTTCACAGCTTGGTTATTAGGTGCATTTAAGGATTGTTAATCTTTCTTCATGAATTTCGAATCATATTTATAAAGGTATAGAATTCTAGATTAATTTACTTTTTACCTCTCAGTAGTTTAAAAATGTCTTGTTATTTTTCTTTGGATTACATAATTTTAGATGGAAAGTCTATAATTATTCATGCCTTTGCTTTTCTGTACATCCAATGTATTTTTTTTTTCCTGTGGTTGCCTTTTAAGACTTTCTCTTTATCACCTTTCAGTGATTTTATTATGATTATATGTTAGCTTTTCTTAATATATGAGTTCTTTCTGTTGTTACTAGTAGAAGCATTACTTAGGATATAGGTAGAGTCAACAGACTTCAGATATTTTTGGTTTCCTGCAAAGTTCCTATGCATTAATATCTACTGCCAAGGAACCACCCTGATTTATGAGGACTTCCAATGCTTGATTGCAGGTTCATAAAGGCTTTTGGACAGTCACATTCTTTGATTCTACCAACACAAAAGGAATGGTAAAGTTTTATTGCTTAGTACGGTCAGGGCAATTCCGCAGATTCCCTATCAAGTTGAGTCCTGTTAATAGCACAAGTTTTCATTTTCATGCGACTTGAAGTTAGTATGAAGAATTTTAGCATCTTTCTCATGAACAAATACATTTTTTAAAATCCTGAAGCCTGTAACTATTCCAGTTAAATGATGATGATAATAATGATAGTAATAAAAAGAAATACAGTAACATTTTATAATACTTTGCAGCTTAGAAAGTAATTTCACATTTCTCATTTTCTTTTATGATTATTTGTACTGAGAAGAAGTGTTTTAGACTTTAAATCAGTAAACATTGAAGAATAAAAGATTTTATAGCCTACCATTTTGAAAAGATTAAAAAACAAAACAAAACAAAAAACAAGTAAAACAGCTTGTCTAACAGCTCTACTACTTATTATTTGATAGACAGAAATTATTGATTTCAAATGAGGTTAGCCGTATTCAAAAGTCTATAAAACCAGAACATATTGCTACCCCCAACCTTTGTTTTATGCTCATGTTATTAAGAGTAAAAGTGAATTTTCTTTCATTTTGACAAGATTAATAGATGTGTTTGTGTTGTACCAGTGTATCTTATAGCAGATATTAGTTGAGAAAGAGATCAGTCCCACATTTCTAGCACTTACGCAAGCAATGCAGGTTTTTTCTTTACAGAAAAGTTAACTCTTTTTGTTTTCCTACTTTTATTTTAAGAGATTCACTTGGTTTTCCATGTTTTGTGACAGGTGTCTTCACTCAAGGACAGCTGGGCCTGGTAGACATCATTTTCCAATACATTCACTGTGATGAGATCTATGAGGCAATAAACATCCTGAGCAGCATGAACTGGGACACTCTGGGCCACCAGTGCTTTATCAGCATGAGCGCCATTGTAAACCATCTTCTTAGACAACAGCTAACTCCAGAGAGAGAAGGTCAGGCTTGAAATATTTTTCATAGATGTATTTTGTATATACATGAAATAATTTTATTAAATCAGTTATTTTTTGAGGTTGTTTTTGAGTTATGTTATTGGAGATTAAATGATAAAAACGTTAGTGCTCTGCTAAAACTCAAGGGATCAGATATCAAATGATTGCTCCCATATGGTACTTACTATATAGTATTTGTCAACATAAAGAACAGCTTTTCTGTTTATGCTTATGTTGGAACTCACAGTGTAGTAGTCATTGTACAATTCTGTCTTAAGCTGAAGAATATAACGTGCTCAGAGTTCAAACTTTGACCAAAAATTTTATGTACTCCCTGAGGTCTGCTAGACAAAGGGCACCAAACAAAGGTCTTTCGTTCCTCCCCCACATCAGACATCAGTATTTTTTTCTCACACCCAAGTCCTCTGTCCAGACAATAGTCCTTAACACTTACTTTTTGTGTATCTGAATTGCAGCCCAGGCTGCTCCTTCTTATTTTCCTTATTCTGACTTACAGTTCTGACACTCTTCTCTCTTCTGCCTGCTTGGATTTCCTTACCTTTGCCCAATAAGTAATTTTGTCCATAGAGATCTAAGATGTTTAATTTTAAAAGAGAAGTTAAAAAACATAGAAATAAACTTAATCAAGGATATGAAAGACCTGTACACTGAAAACTACAATACATTGATAGAAGAAATTTTAAAAGAGAAAAAAAAAAAAAAAAAAAAAAGGTCGGGGGATGGGGGCAGTGGGGAATGCTGTGACACATACAATAATGAAATAAATCTTTATATTTGCCAATTATCTAGTCTTATTTTTCTTATGTTATTTATTTACTTAATGTATAATACACCTAAACAGTCTAACATTTGCATCTTTCATATCTTTGTGGTAAGCATTGACATTAATGGTGGAAAATCATGGCCAATGAGAAACTGTCCCTAGGTAATTTGTAAGCTAGGAAGAACAGGAAATATGTCAAGAGATCTTTACTTGGAGAGCTTTTCTTTTCTATTTTCTTTGCACTTTTATAGATTTTTCTTATCCCACTTTATTACATTGCCAAAATAAGTTGTTTGAATAGAATTTTGTAGGTAATCTTCATTTTAGTAATTTTAGAGAAGAATAATTAGTAAGAACATGCTCTTCCAGGAAGTCTGGATCATGGGTCTTGGCCCAAGTCACATATGGCCCACAGTAAATATTTATTTAATATTAATTGAATGTGCTTTTTGGAGGTAGTAAAATTTAACTAAGGAAATTCAAATTTATTTATTTATTTAGAGACCAAATCTTGCTCTGTTGCTCAAGGTGGAGCACAGTGGCACAATATCGGCTCACTGCAATGTCTGCCTCCCGGGTTCAGGTGATTCTCATGCCTTAGCCTCCTGAGTAGCCAGGGACCACTACGCTTGGCTAATTTTTGTATTTTTAGTAGACAGGTTTCACTATATTGCCCAGACTGGTCTCGAACATTTGGCCTCAGGTGATCCACCTGCCTCAACCTCCCAAAATGCTGGAATTACAGGTGTGAGCCACTGTACCCGGCCAAAAAATTCCAGTATTTTTACAATGAGAAAATGCCTAGTGCATGGCCCATACTTAGGTACTCAGTGAGCATTAGTTAAAAATAAAACGAATATAGCTTCGTAATTTTAAGATACAAGATACTACTATAATATTGCTGCTTGCAGAGTTATCTTAACTAATTATTTGTTAGTATTGATATACTGTAATGACCGGGTGCATACTTAAAAATAAACATAAAAAATTTTAAAAAGCAGAGTCCCTAAAGAATTCTTATATTATATACAATCTATATAAGTGATCATAAATTTACACTTAAAGAAGAAATATGGAAAAGATAAAATATTGACTGAGCACACCAAGAAATTGCTAGCACCATAGTGAATTTGTCTTGTAAGATTACTGTGTTATAGGAAATATTATTAGGGAATACACAAATGGGCATTATCTGATTCTTGCTTTAATAAAGGATATTTTCAAGGAACCATATTGGGGAGATAGGGAAATAAAAAGCTTGTATGATACTAGGCTATTAAAATAAAATGTTTGCATGATGCTGGGTTATCAGAATATGTACATTTTAAGTAGGTATGTGCATTTCCCTCCAAGTAACTGCAAAACAGATTTCTAAAACATTCAGAATTCTTCTCTCTTGAGATGTATTCTGAATCTAACAAATTTGATATGGTAATTTGTTTTCCTTTTATTAGTGGAACCCAGTGAGCTATTTTATTTGTAGCCATGTTGTAGTTATCTTTGAGATCTTCATTTCTGCCTTAAACATCAAGCTGGGATATCTAATGAATCTATAACTGTGCTGGGAGTTATGAGTATTCCATATAGGTTCGAACATTTCAGATGTACGAAACATGCTGTCAAGAAAACAAGCAATGACAAGAGAATCTGGCTTGTTTTCACAATAGCATTGCTGTATTCAATTTTAATCTAAATTGACTGCTGCTTTGAAAGAAAATACCTCTAAAGTTCATCTTACTTTACTGTCTAGATTTGAGATTAAAAAAAGAAATTACCTACCTACAGCTTAGCCAATTCCATAGCAATTACTCTGATGAGATATTTAATACTTTCAAACCCAAATATGCCTAAAACTAGTTTTGTTAAATAAGGAATTGTTTATTCAACCCAGTGCTAGTAGCATACAAATCAGAGGAGTCTTACTGTGAGCTATAGTGTTCTCATACATACTCTTACTCTCACTATTATGGTTATTACTTAACTTCCAGGTATTTCTGGGAAAAAAACCTAGTCCTGTAAGCATGTCTTGGTAAAACTGTGAAACAGGCAAAATGTGCCCTTTCCCCCAATCTTAGCCCTCTAGTTTATAAAAACCTGACTCTCCAGTCCTTCTTTCCTTTTCCAGGAGTCTAAGTTTTCACACTTGGATAAAACCAAGAATCTTGCTGTTTAGGGTAGGACTTAGGGAAGATACAGGGACTTTCATGGTTCTCTTCAAATTGCAATAGAGACATATTTCTACTCCAATATGGCTGTTTATTTGTATTATTTAAAAAAAAAATTCTACATCTATTTCAATTCCCAATAGGGAAAGGTTAGTTTTCTCCTTTTAGCCAAAGAGAGTAAATGTTTAGCACACTGTGAGCTGATTTTACTGGAAGTACTAGTTCAAACTGCATTACTTTGATGAGTCACTGCTTTAATTACCCATTTGTGGTGAGAGGGTGGTTCATTATGGATTTCTTCAGTTTTGACAGCTTTTTGTTGCTCAGAGTCATTGTCAGCTTTGCCTCAAGTGAAAGTTTATACACAGGTTTGTTTTTGTACCAGCTGTCATATTTTAATTTCATCTTTCCTGCAACAAGCTCACATTTCATCCAAGTTTGCAAAACCTGACTGACTGCAAACATGAGTATTTTGTTGTAATCGATGGAGTTTCACTTGTTTCAGTGCTGCTATGTTTGAATTCCACAGCACAGCTTGAGGCAAGCCTTGGAACCTTCTATGCTCCAACAAGACCACTTCTGGATACCACTATATTGAAATATAGGGACCAAATCAGCAAATATTCAAGGAGATTCTTCCACCATTTGCTCAGGTGAATGATATATTTGGATTGATTAGTGTCAGATTAATTATTTCAGGAGACAATCATCTTTAATTAAAATATTCCATAGTAAGGCTACATGTTTCCTGACAGTCCATTTCTTCAAAGAAATATACATCTTCTTTTGATCTTACTTAATTTGTTATTGTTCTCATTTTAAGGAAATATTTAAATATTATTTGGGGCTTTTATATCATCAGTACTTTTTAATATACCTTCCTGTTTAATATGAAAGAACAAATATCATGTACGTAAAGTCAATGTAGAAATATTAACTGAATTATGCTGCTAGCAGTAAGTAAATATTTTCTTTTTAATTGAAGCTAATGATATGAATGTTCTGTAAAGCTCTGAGACAGTCATTGGTTTGTTTTTCCTTCAGAATTACTATAGAAACTTATCCATTGTCTTCTCATATAATGTGGCAAGTTTCTAGCTTCAGTGTACCTCATTTTTTCTGTTTTAAATGTATATAATAAATATTGTTAACCTTAGAAATTATGTAAAAAATAATGTCAAGAAATTTCTCTAAGAAAAATATTGCAGAAGTTGAAGGAAAAGTATATATAACATATATATATATATATATATATAAACTTCAGAAAGCAGGATTAATAGATGGAAAGAAGGAAGATGAATGCATGGATAGATAATTTAGTGATGTATATATAAATGTGCCAATACCATAAGTAAGAGCAAGGGAGTAATTAGCACACAATTTAGAACACTCTGGAGTTAATAAAAAGAAACATGATAAAATAAGCATATAATAGCCTCCAAGGTATTAGTAATGTTCTGTTTCTCAAGATGAGTGGTAAATATCAGGTCATATTAAAAATTATTTTTAACTATGTGTATATATATACATACATATACATGTGTGTGTCTGTGTGTGTTTGTATATATGTGTAGATATATGTATAATATACTTTCGTATATGATAAGTTATATAATGGAAAGTAACAGAATTTCAACTCTGTGTACCAAAAAGGAAGATTACATGAAGGAGTTGATTTTAGACTTTCAATTTTACTAATAATATAATCAGTTAGAATGCTTTTCACTCTTTCAAGGCCTTTGATGTGTATTCTCTTATTTCTTTCTTAGAAACCCCTGTTAAAGTAGTAGAATCATTTGAGAGATGAGTAAACTGAGGCGTAGATAAGTGGCTTGCTTAGATCAAATAACAGGTTATTGGTGGTGCCAGATCTTGAACTGATTTTGATTCCCTGTTCCTTACTCTTTCTTTAAAACTGTTTGGCTATTATTAGTTGTATGTTTTTAAGATCCTAGCTTATAAACTAACTGGAAGTTTTTATTCACTTGAGAGTAGACCGTTTGGTAAAACTGCTCAAAAAGAAGGAGGACACCAGATTGGTCAAGATTTGAGAAGTTGTATTGTGCTGTAGATATTCACGTTCTATAATTATAATTCTATATATAAAGTGGCATTTTGAAGTCTACTAAGCAGCGAAGCCTCTGGAAAACAGCAATTTTAGAAACAGAAACATTAAAATATTGCAAGGGTTTTGATATATAATTGAATCTAGCCTTTTCATCTGAATATTAGCATATTCCAAGATTCTTCATGTGAATGAAATGTCTTCTATGAATGAACATCTGGTAAAAGTGCTGGGGTTAATATCACATTTATTTGGACTTAGAGCATTGCCCTTTGGTCTCATTGCTAATATTTGTTTCCCTGTTTCTGGGGAAAATTAGTAAATTCTCGTCTTGCCTAAAGATCCCAAAAAGATGAAAGTGAATGAAGCAGAAGTTTTGGAAGCATATTCTTTGTGTCCTCACTGTCTTTGGTCTCTGAGATTTTATGCAGTGATTTAGTTTTTGCATAAGCATCATATTTGTAACCATCCTGCGGGCTCTAGGATGCTCTATTCTACTAATGTGCAATTTTTTGTTCATTGGTTTTTCTCAAATAATTACTTTTTGGACATATTTTGATAAGGTCATTATTACTATTATCATTATTATTCTATAGCTTTTCTATGTGGTCACATCTGGAACTGGATGTTTTCCCTTAGGGTATACTAGCTTTTTCAGGTTTTTTCTTTTGCATACTTTGCTACTATTTCAATTATAATGAGTATGTTATTAGTTCTTCTTTTGATAGTAGGCTATACAGTATTATGAAAAAAGAAACAAAAGTTTAGAAGAAATTAAATGAGATAGCTTAAATTGGAACCATTCTTTTGTTTAATGTGCTACCAAGAAGTTCCTGTGCTTAGGGGAAGGAAAATAGGCCAAATACCTTTTCATATTTGTGAAGTGCTAGAATTACATTATTCTGTCCTTTAGCTAGTCATTATTTTAATAATCTGATAAAAAACTTCTAGGTGTAATGGAATAAGCCCTAAAACAGTAAAGACTATCATAGGGAATTTTAAATTAAAGATAAGGAAAAGTAGCCCCACAGATATTAGGGGTGTACCTAAATTACTCACATGGTTCTCAGATTGGCTGAATCTGGATTGAATTATTTTGATGAAGAGTAAAATATTACATTGATTTTAATTTAATCCAGCAAATGAAGGGTAAGATCATACTATGAATTTGTGATAATAGGCAAGTATACCATGTAGATTATTAAAATAATTGTTTTAGACAATTTTGTTTTTGTCTTGACAGTAGAGGAATTCTGCAGACATTGCTTTACATTTTTTGGTCTTTTTTGTCTTTGGCAAGTATAAAAAATTACCTGAAAGCCTTTTTCCAAATTCAAACAAATCTAAACTTTAAAACATTACCTCTCATCTTTTTATATGCATTCAAAGTGATCTGTTTTCAAAAGAAATGCTCCCTAGAAATGTAAATTATGTTTCTAATGTTAAAGATAGGAAGAGAAAACAGAAGCACAGTCTTGTTGTGGTAGCTAATCAAGTGTTTATTATAAAAAATTTTTAAAGAGATGATAGAATCTCATTTATAAAATTATTAAACTGGAAGGCATTTACCTACAGTAGGTAAATGCCTTCCAGTTTAATGACTTTTTTAGGCAACTTTGCCTAAAAAAATTTAAAAGATAGCTGTTCAGCTGCCTCTCTGAAATTGAATAATCTTCCACAAGTACTGAACAGGGAAGTGATGGCAAGTGAGAGTTTTTCATCATTAAAAAATAGAAACAATAATAGGAACCTCTAAATATTGATGAAATGAAAGGGCAGACATTTCAAATAAATGTGCCACATATGAAGCTTATTACCAGCATGGAAATATAATGTATTATAAAGAGTTAATAATTTATTTTAACTTTTCCCCCTTCCTAACTGTGAGACTGTTGTTTTCTGACTCAAATGGTGTTACGTGATTGTGGCCCAGACAGTTGTGCTTTTTAAATGCTTATAAAAATATTAAGCAAAATTTGTAGAATGTGAGATTTATTGCCTAGAAATAATTTTTGTTTATGAAATATTAGTGGAGAAATGTATTGATGTCTGCATTTTCCTTTGAAATGTAACAACAAAAAGTAATATGAATTGATGGCTAGAGATAGGTAGATATGTGATAAGTAATATTGTAAAATGATAAAGTCAAAATACATGGAGTAGATATTCTTTTAACTTCGTTGTATGTTGGGAAATTTTTATAGTAAGATGTTGGGGATAATATATTGGAGTCAATATTTACACTTAGAATTCAGAAAAAAAGGACAGTCTTTTGGAAATGGCTTTTAGCTTATGTAAAATATATATGGTAGGCAAAACAAAAATCATTTTGTGACTAAAACAGTTCTTAAGCAATTCCATGTATACATGGCTTTTTCATTTATACTTTTCACTGATGGAGCATATGTAGTGAATAGAATATTTGTATGAAACCATTTCAAAGAATATGAATGCTAAAAACGTTAATCTAAAAGCATTCAAGACAACAAGATAGAATGATCTTTAGAGACAAACTTCCTGGTCAGATCATCCAAAAATGCTAGATAACATATTCCAATATTTATTGAAAGCATGGTTGAGCTGGCTGTAAAATAAGGGAAACAGGTTGAAATGACAAGGATGCTTGATTTCACAAAAGTAAGCAAACTTTAACGTTCTCCTGGAGGGCATCGTCTGGTTCACAGTAAGATAGGTACTTGGTTTCAAAGGTTATGTACTCAGAAGATAGGAGACATAACTGAGGGCTCATGCAGAATGGGAGGTTGTGTCAGATGAAAGAGACAGCATCCTTCCTGAGAGAAGTGGAAGGAAGGAAGGCATGGGGAGCAAAAAGGAATGGTAGACAAAAAAATAATCATAGACTTATGGAAACCTAAACAAAAATTGATCATATAAAGCATATACACTAATGTCTAATTCAAGGGGTTAAAAACTAAAAAAAAATCTTGGACGATAACAACATAGAAGAGGAGTGAAGAGAGTTAAAACATTCTAGGGTCCTTCTACTTTTCAAGAGGAACATAAAGATATTTATTGATTCTAGATTTTAGTAAGTGAAATACAGAATTTCTAGGGTAATTACTAAAAGGAAATAAATAGAGTATATAATTTTCAAGCAAGGAGAGGGAAAATATTGGATAAAGAATAAAAATTAACCCCAAAGATGGCAAGAATTAGAGGAAGGTGCAGCATGCAGGGGAAAAAGCATGGGAAAAAAGATGGAAAATAGAAAACACACAGTGAGATACTGGCAATGAATAAAAAAATCAATAATCATGGTTAATGTAAAACAGATTTTTTTTCCTCAGTTTTTTTTTTTTTTTTTTTTAAAGACATCTAAAACATAGAAGGTGGCTGGGTGCTGTTGCTCACACCTGTAATCCCCGCACTTATGGGAGGCCAAAGCAGGAGAATCGCTTGAGCCCAGGAGATTAAGACCAGCATAAGCAACACAGTGAGACCCTTGTCTCTACCAAAAAAAAAAAGCAAAAAAATTAGCCAGGTGTGTGGTGGTGCATGCCTGTAGTCCCAGCTACATGGAAGGCTGAGATGGGAGGATGGCATGAGCCTGGGTGTTCAAGTCTGCAG